TTTTTCTTTGTCCCACGCTCGAGTCATGTTGATTAATTCACCTTCACATTTCACTACCGAGCTTAAAATTCACCATCTTTATTAACTTATCACTACCCTCGATGAATTCGATAGCGTTGATCCTAGCAGTATGCAGGACACCTGTCATATATGAACTCAGTTAAATGACCTTGCTCTCCATGAGTTCTCGTAGCTNCAGTGGATAGAGCGCCCGCCCGGTGTTTGGGAGGTCATGGGTTCGATTCCTGTCGGGGACTCAGAATTTTTCTTTGTCCCACGCTCAAGTCATGTTGATTAATTCACCTTCACATAATCACATTAACCTGTTGAAATTAAAAATAATTGATTTAGGCCATGACATTATTATTAGTGACTTTGGAAAATAGAAGGTGCAAATTAAGGTAATTTCACTTGACTATAAATTTTGACCATACTGGTAGCTAAATTTGACCACAGCAGTTTCTTTCTTTCTGTTTCACCTCACAATCAAAAGCGAATAATCTAATTGTTTTAGTATAAATCTACTAGTCGTTCAAGACTTGATCTAAATCCTCTTCCCAGACACTTTGAAAACGGCACAAAGGGGCCATCATTTTGTTAACAAGGGCACACTGCCACGCTACTGCTATCACAGAATAGATAGCTAGTGAGTATCGTAGCCAATCAGAGAACCGCATTCATGATAGAATGCTAATGCCTAGTAGCTTTATACTAAAACTCGATAGAAACACAGTATGTTTTCTTTTCTTAAATGATAATAAAATTGGTCGTAGTGTACAATGTGTGCTCCAGTTGATTATAAAAGGCTACCTAAACATAGTTATGGCACATCAATGTATGTTGTTTGCTTTGTAGAATGAATCAAATGGAAAATAATGTTCATAAACATAATAAACAGAAAGACATTTCAGGAGGGTTCAAAAGATTTGTTATTGTACACCCAAGGCACAAAGATGGGTTATTGACCACGCACGAGGTCAAGAAGGCTGTACATGCATAAAGGCCAAGTTCTTTTTTTTGCATGTTCATAGACCAAGACAGGTTTACATACTTTAGGTATATTTACTATACACAATAACAAAAGTATGACAGGCTTCATTTTTCTCTGTAGGTCAGTGTGGAGTCATTCAGAGGAGTCATGGATGAAGTGACTGCACAGAAACTTGCTGAAACCCAAGTGTCGTAAAAACAAGAATGCAAATCAGTGATTATTTCTTTTCGAATAATGCCAAGACACAAATAGCTAAATATTTTTTAACAACTCAGATTTTATTTCAGAGTTCAAGCTTGATTCTGAGTACAATGTAAAACATAGTTTTCATAGCACAGCATTTTGAAACAGTTTTAAGTCTCTGTCTAATACATTTGGTGTCTCTTTACATTTGTTAAATTTAACTATTAATTGTATGAAATAAGAAATTAAAACTAATTATGATATATAACAACCTACATGGAGTATTTTGTAAATAAACAAACGTTTGAGACTTAAAAATAAATCGATCAATAAAAAGTTGGTTAAAAGAAGTTGGTTAAAAACAACTCTACAGTTTTGTTTAATGCCTACATAACGATCTTAATACATAAAATATGTTAGCATGCATGCAATTGCTCTTAACATGTCATGTGACTGAATGTGCCCAAGCTAAATTAAAACTGGGGAATGTCTCAGTGATATTCCCCAATTTTCAACGCTGTGCGTGTTGCGCAAAATATTTGAAGGATAATTAACACAAAACCCTCCATTTTGGTGCAAAAATATGCATGGATATTTGTCCTTGGACATAATCTGTTCCTCAAAGCTCACTGTTTTCCTGAGCATCGCTCTCGGAAAACTTCACTTCTTGGAACATGATGTCTGCGGACAAATATCTGGGCATATTTTTGCGCTAAATGGAGGCTATTGTTTATTTGTTAAAAGCACTGTTTTCATAATTTGTATATTGAACACATCCTATGACAATGGATGTTTCTAATTCCCATAAACGAAGAACCACTGGACTAAAACAAAGACCCCTGGATTAATAGGAAGACCAACTGAACGTTGCTCGATTCAGTGAAGTTTACCATAACATTTTTACGTAACTTGGAATGTTGATGCTGCTCACAAACACACCTTTGAACTGAGCACTCAAATGACCATGATGAAAATCCGGTCTACCTTCGTGTTAATAATGCTAACTGTTTTGACACATCACTGACTTTCCTTGTGAGACTGAATATCGATTCAGAGCCATTCAGTTTGTGCTGAAGATGTGCTTGGTTCTCTATTGGTCTTTATATAATTATAACAAGTCAAATTATTATTCTTACTTATGATACACTGGAGGATAGACATAGATGACATCATAAGCATTTCTCTTTTGTTACTTTATTGTATAAATTAAATAAAAAGATTCCATGTTGTTGTGTGTCTGTACAGTAGAAGATCACAGATGATGTCAAAATGTGGTAAGAACAAAAACATTCCGTGATTTATTACTGAACAATCGCACAGCACCATGGAATCTATTTGTTTGTTAGATCAGAGAGTCTTTGCTTTGGTCCATGGCTCTTCATTGTGGCTTACAGGTCTTTGCTTTGGTCCACTACTGGGTCTTTGTTTTCGAACCACCCTCTAACTATATTTTGTACTTGATGCCAAGATGAGTATCAACTTATGAAACAATGCATATGTACTGTAACAATTAATTATTATTATTTCAACACCTTTTTAATTAATTCTTATTATTTTATGCAGTTCACTTGGTCTCCAAGAGATCATTTAACATAAAATTCACTGTGTGTATATAACTGGGCACCTTCACATTGATATCGATAAGAGAACTCGTTAATAATAATTAGTTGATCGCTCTTGACGAGAAGATCATAAGAAAAGCTTACATGTCCTGTTGAGTTAAAAGCTCTGGTATTGATAGTAATCAAGTATGTCACATTAAAAGAATTTGACTCTGTATGTAAGTAATGCAAAATTTTATTAGCTGAAGAAATTCAGCTCCAATAAAATAAACCACACTTGGAATACAGGAAGGGGACAAAAACAGTTGTTTTAGTTAAATATAAATAATTTTTTTAGGCTACACTGTATGAGACAAGTGTGGGGTCCTTGGGAACCTTACAGGACAACCATAAATCAATGTATTTTACTCACTATTTCACACTGTTAGTACCCTACCAAATATATTTAGCCACTAGGGTATCTAAAAGATAGTAATGCTGCGGCACATTCTGTTGATAGTGACATATTTAACGCCGTGATTCATCTATCTGCACGTTTCAAGACTTAAATTAACTGTTATTTCTCAAAGTAGTGTCAAATCGTGGTGTCACAATCTGTCCTTGTATGCATCAACTTCATGCATGATGACGCATCGATGGCGAGGTGTGACAAAGGATCGAGACAAAAAAGCACATTGTGATCTGAAGTA